TAGGTGTAGCCAATACTTTAATATTCTTTTCTGTATGTTTATCAATAGTGGGTACTGGCCTAATTCGGCCCTGCACCCGTTGTTAGGAGTTTTTCTCTGCACTTTGAGGATGATTCTACAGATCTCCATGTGCAGAGTTTCTGTGGGGTGTTTGTCCCATTGGGTGTAATCCTGGTCTGTGAGCAGATTATCTGAGCATGTGCAGGTACCACGTACAGAATAATTGTAGCCGACCGCTGCCTGAATCTGATGGCCTCGATTTCAACGGGTATTTGCAGTGTCGATCCCCCCTTTTAATCACCTATTTCTTATGAAAATGGCATTGTCGGGTATATATAGTCACGGTGGCAGTCGATCTGCGTACGAAGACCAGGGCTGCCGGGACAAAGCTGCGCTTTTCTAGGGGACAGTCGGAGAGACCGTGTCGGGTCCCTGAGACACAACTCAATTCAATTCAAGGTGCTTTATTGGCATGACCGATGGGTACAATCAGTGTTGCCAAAGCAAACAAGAATAAAATTAACATGAAACAAAGCAAAAATAAAGATAAAATTAAAATGTACATTTAGAACAGAGACATATCATACAATATTTACATATACTGTAAACATATGGAGCATTATTGGGAGACAGACTCACTGTCCCTCATGCTGTGAGACACACTGACACACTTCAGAGATCTGCCTCTCCCAGAGCATGTGGATCAGTAGGGCTCTCACACTCTCGTCCTCTGCTCTTCTCACGCCTCTGTTCCCCTATTTTACCATCTCTTACAGTCCATCATACTGCCTGTTCACAATGCGGCCTGCTGGCTGGATGAGTGTCTGAGATCTGTCTTGGAGCAGGACTTTCAGGGAACTATGGAGCTGTCTGTTTTCAATGATGCCAGTAAGGTACAGCACTGGTCATGCAGTTCATGTTGCATGAAGAAACTTGCTGTTTATTTCATTATCCCAAGTGGGGCACTGACTGTAATGGATCCCTGGTCTGTGTGTCGGAAAGAAATCGCTTTAATGCACATTTCTGGTTATTTACTGACTTTTCCGCAATGTTTTGCAACAGTTAAAACCAAGATGGCTATTCAGTAGTACTAAACTGAGAGGTGACCATATTTTGGTTTACAAAAAAGAGGATGAGGTGGGGGATAATCGATACTTGACAGATGCCTCCAAAGTAATGAATCTTTATTAATTTTTCTAATCAAAAAATCAATTTAAACTATCTGGTTTTATTCAACTTATTAGTAAACTTTTAAACAGTTGCAGGGTTGCTATTTCTCTTCCATAATGGCAAACAAGGAAAAAACAAAAATATAGCCCTATTTTAAACTTAGTTTTTTTTTTCATTTATACACAACAAAAGTCTTAATATCTGAGGAAAAAAAGAAGACATCATAACTAAGGAGAAGTCCTCATTGGTTGCAAAAATGATCAATTGTAACGAAACATTTGGAAAAATAATGAAACAAGTTAAACAGAATTTTATCAATCCCAGTCGGACCAATATTTTAGGTCTCAAAAAGAGGACATGTCTGGGGAAAAAGAGGACGTCTGGTCAGCCTTGCGCAATGCAAAAAAGAATAGAAGGTAACAATTGGATTCTTAGTCTCATTTCTAGAAGGTATAAGCCAGAAGATCTGCAAAATATTTTCTTCTGTCTTCAATTAAGTTCAGGTGAGATTATGTTAAGAGAAGTAATTCTTGACCATAATTGTTCTGTCTTTCCCCTGTTCTATACTGCTGTAAGTGTCGTCTTACATCCTTCCTTTATTGTCCCTAAGGTAAGCAGGTAAAAGATGTAACATAATGCATTTAACAACATGAATCCATTAACAAAAAAACATACACACAGAAAATAAAATCACAAGCTTTAAATAATCCTCACAATCAAAAACTAGATAAATAAAGAGGTTGGTCATCAGTGAGATAGATGCATAAAATACATCTATGATGAACATAAAAAATTGTCAGCAGTGTCTCCCAATCTCAGCAGTGTTGAAGGAGGCCAGGTGTGAAGATGCTCGCCTGGAATTCTCCCATCTTCTGTTTAAATGTCCCTATAAATTATAATTTGTTGACTTTAACTTTATGGATTTCTGGCACCTCCTCATATCCATGAGCAGAAAAAGGATTTTAATTCCAATTTGACTGAAAGAGCACTCTACAAAAAGAAACATGAAATAGCTAATTGGGCTTTCGCAATGATGCTGAGAGATGTTTTGGCATAAATAATACACTGTTTAAAACTAAAATTCCCCATGATAAATTGCACTTTAACTGCAACATAGTGTGGGCAGATGAACATAATTACAGTGTGTTATCGGCTGAAGAAAATAACCGAGCGCTTGTTCTGAGGGACGCTTAGCTGAGATGCTGTTTGTGTTCCCCTCAGGATGACTCACAAGCCATTATTGAGAAATGGACAGCCAGCCTGGAGCGCAGAGGGATTTCCACTGTGGTTTCAGGACACCACTCCCTTCTGCCCAGAGGAGGTCAGTGCCAGTGCTGGACTTTCTAGGACAGAGCTGGGGTCAACAGTGCTGCAGATTTGTTACTTTGGGTTCCTACATCTGTGCCTGTTAGACAAGAATCGTTGTGTAGAAACATGATTACAGAATATCTGGCTCAGTTAGGTATGAAATGCAACACTGCTCCACATGTAGCCGAGCCTCAGAGGAAAGGTCTTGCATCTACACCTGAACTCAGGCTCACGACAGATGCAGTGGAAATGCAGCATAAGAGACCGAGCTTTGATGAGTCACATACATCGAGCCATGTTTCATAGAGGAAGTTAGTTACCTAGCAAAGTATTTTCTTAGTAAAACACAAATTGTTTTGTTTGATTTTAAAAAAAGTGCTACATTTGAAATTTCAGTCCATAGTATTTTGGAGACAGAATAAGCTGATTTTTATTTAATAAAAGTTGCTAGGTAAAAACTCTTGCTTGATGTCTCTCAGGTCCTTTAGACAAGCAGTATTAATGATGCATCCAGACCTCAACCCCGGCCTCATGCCTGTTCCTGAAGATTTTTTAGTTCTTTTTGTATCTTAATATTCTCAACATTGGCTCAAGGGCTGTGAATCCAAGTTAAGGTGTTTTTTTAGGCTTGGATCCACTCTTCTCCTGAGGTCTTAAATTAAACAACATGGCTGAATAGCTTGTTCCACACTTCTGCAGCCCTTTGTGTAAAAAAGGTTCTAAGTGCTGGTCCCCCGTAGTTCCTACTTACTTCCTCTGATCCATGGTTGGTTCTGAAAAAGTCCACAGGGACCGTTCTAGATGGCCTCCTGGTGGCAGCCATTGAGGACTGAAGTTGGGGATCTCTGTTTAAGCTGTTAATGCTTTAATAAAATAACAGCAGCCTGGAAACTGCAGAGAGCATGTGAGTGCTGGCTCAGGGTTTTCCTGCAGAGCTCCAGCACAGGCACACAATCCTAGTTTTGTTTCTGAACCTGACTGCTGTCCACAGTGACAGGGCAGACCACACAAAAGTATCACAGGAAAGAAAGGACTTAGCATCTTACACGGTACTTTGGTCGTATCTGCCCCCAACATTTGTTTCTTGTGTTTTCCAGGGTGTTTATTTTACTAAAACCCAAAGCTTTTAAGTGAGAGTACATAAACCTGTTCCTAATGAGTCCCTGAAGGAATACATTCCTTCATTATTAATTAAAAAAACAAAAAAGCTGGAATAAAATGGAAACCTTGCTACAGTACTTGGAGAGTGAAAGAATGTTAATAATTCACCAGGGCTGACGATCTGTACTTGGTATCCATGGCGATATGCTGCATTCACAATGAAGCTCTTTTTGAACACAAGGCCCCTGGCTGGGTTGTTGGCTCTCTCTGGTATAATATTAGGACAGCTCTCCTTGCTCCTTCCAATATGCTGCTTATTATGGGAACCATGACACAGATTAAATGGTCTCCATGGTGATCCTGTTTTATGTACAGATTATGGAGAAAAATGGTATTTTAATAAAGCAAAAAGACTAGGATTGTATGTATTTAAACCTCTTGGCAGGTGCTTGCTTGCAGTCACTGAAGAACAGTGAGTCTTCTCTTAAAGACACATGCAGGGTGAAGTCCCCTTCAGTGAAAGGAAGACTCCTTCTTTTCTGTTGAAAGTAATATTCAGAATCAATCTGTTAAAAGGTTGCTGTCCAGTCTACAGTCCCTCATCTCTTCTGGATCTGTGAAATTCTCCCTCCTCTGGTTACAGTTTATTTAGTTTCATTCATTCTGCAGCTCAAGATTTTCATGGCCTCGAGTGCCCCAAACTGAAGTGTCCAGTTGAGAAATTCTATCTGATGTCTGTGCCGGCTGGCTCTGCACAGCCACTGCTGAAGCAGCTCAGGTCAGAAGTGGGCTTTTAGGATAACCTTTCTTCCCGATTTTCTCTTACCAGTTGGTTATGCAAAGAACCAGGCAGTGGCTAAGAGCAGAGGAGAGAATCTATGCTTCCTTGATGCGGTGAGTAGAGAGTTTGAAGTAGCTGGAGGTTCCAATGCAGTATCCTCCCTATCACTGGAAGACCTGGGAAGCTGTCTCATAGGCTGGATAGAAAGGCTTAGGAACATCCCGAGTGCACAGCAGTTAAGTTTACAGGACATAAATTATTTTTTGCTCTATCCCCATCACTGAGCTTTTCAGAAATCCCAAAGAAGCTTTATTTCTTTTATTGTTATTCCCCTCCTTTGTGTGAATATAATATAATATAATATAATCATTGCATGAAGCAATAAAGAACAGATTTGTATGTTGGTCATAATAGCAGAGGCATCATCGTTGTGCTTTTGTAAAAGAAAGGTGTCCTAATAAATCAGCAGACTGAGATGATCTGTGGCATGTGTGAAGGAGATGGGGTGAACTCTCTGAGTCTCTTCCAAGTGAACTGCAATGCGGGCTGGGAGCTCACACTGGGTCAGTCTAGATGTTGCTGTCCTGTTGAGCTTCAAGTTCTTGGGAAGTTTTAGGGATTGCTTTATGCTATTAGCCCCTCAATGCCCACCAGCTGTTGACCTTCAGTAAACTTATATAACTGGACAGAAAAGGCCCTTTGGGAGCTTCTGAGGACAGGGCGTGGAAATTCCTGAAGTGAGGACACTGTTCCAAGGGACAGAGGGTGTGTTTGCGTGTGCAACAGCGGCCCAGTGGGGCACCTCAGCTTTGCACAGCACACTTGTGGTCATCACATAGACCGTTTGGAAAACACTTTGTTTGTCTTCAAGTACACAGGGAGATGCAATCATGCACAGGTAATCAGATAGCAAATCGCTTATTGTGTAACTCAACTAAGATTTATTTCCTTGGACTGTGAAAGGGCTGACAGTGCCAGGAACTGTTCAGCTCTGAAGTCTGATTTGACCTGCTTCACGTTTTCATACTGTACTGTGGAGTGACCTGCAGAAATTTATACAAGAATATTACAGTTGTGGTTTTCAGTTAATCAGTGTTTTAAAAATTTGATTATTGAATGTGCAGTATGTGAAATAGCAAGTAATTAGTAAATAAATGAGTGCCTTTCCTTATATGCACATGAAATCAGATAAGACAATAGGTTATCTGAAGAGGAATGGGTAAAGGTTTATTCCATGCTGAAAGGAAAATAAAAGAGACACAATGTTTCGGGCTGTGGAGCCTTCTTCAGGTGTGTGAAACTTTGTGTCTCTTCTTTTTCCTTTCAGCATGGAATAAACCTTTATCTGTTCCTTTGCAGACTACGCATGCTGACACAGCTCCCTACTCAAACGTCTTCATTATCTGAAGAGCCTGGGCTATTCTGACATTAGTTTGTGCTGAATAATTAATCCTTCTGCAGCATCAACTGAATCAGATATTATTACACTTATATATTTATACGTGTGATATTCATAGCCCTGGCAGTCTTAAATCATGCTAAATCAACTTGTTTTTTGGACTGAAATCAGTCTGTTTAGTAAAACAGAAATCTCCCAGTACTTAATACAGATCCTGGCCAAAATCTTAACTGGTGATTATAAGGGTCAGCGCTCCAGCCCCAGGGGCAGAGCAGGTGACGTTGGAAGTGTTACTGTCTCCTCCAGCTGTGAATCTGGTGATGTCTCGCTGAGACATGTTGTGCTGCTTTGCTCTTGTTTGTGTAACATTCACACCTTGTTATTCTTGGCGCCATGAGTTCTCCTTTGCTACCGGCTGAAGGCGTTCAGCTGTTGGAGGAGCAGAGGGGTGTCTGGGAGAGACGGGGCCAGATAGAGAGAGAGGGCTGGGCCAGGGTCGCTAGCCTTCGCCACTCCAGAGCGCAGAGGGACCTCGGTCCAGGATCAGCTAGAAATCTTAGAGTAAAACATCCTTCATCTCTTACCCACAATTTCTTTGAATGTATCTTTAATAATAAGGTTTTCAGAAAATTTAGGTGTTCATCTTTTAATAACATGGTGTGAATGATTTCCAGTCGGAGGGCTCAGAGATCACATTTTGTTTAATGATTGTTGATAAAAATATTTAACTGTGTTCTACTGTATACAATAACTGCCAACACCCCCAAGTTTTCACTAAAACACCCCTTTTCATTATTGTGCCAGCTGAACCCCAGCTGTTTCCCAAGATAGGAGGACGCCCAGCTCTGTGTCTGTGTACTGCACAGGCGCTGTCACCTTCAGCACCCCCTTTGTAGTCAAACTGTAGTGTTCCTGTGTTTCTAATCATTTTTTAAAGTTTTATTTTATCTCTGGCCTCACCTGTAATGTTTGCAGCTATTCCTAATCTTCCCTTTCATGCTGTGCAATTTTAGGGATGTTGTCTAAGCCTTATGAATTTAGGAGGCTTTGTTTCCCACTAAGTGTGATGTCTTATGTATTGTTTAGCTTTACATTTTTTGTCAATGAGAATAATAAAATTCTTACAGACCTCCTACTGTTCATGAGATAGCCTTCCCTTTGCAATAGGGTGCTGCATTTTGTGTTGCAAGTATGCTTGATAATTCTAGAAAAAAGTCAGAATGCGCTACCTACCATTTGACACCATCTGTGTGATTCTGATGTTCCTGGTGAGAGAAACATACTGTATAACTGTGCAGTACCAATGAGCATGTTGTACATTAATGTTGGTCCATGGTAGCTTGTCTCTGTCATTGTGAATATAATTGTTTCTTTTCACATTACCATGGATTTACATTTTTCAAGTACTCACATTTTCTGAAAGATCCACCAAATTGCTTGGATTTGCTGTCTTTTTATACAGTGCCCCGTTGTATAAAAGCATTTTGTTGTATGAAAGCATGCAGTCTTTGAAGAAGCAGCTAATATTCATTCTTCACACAAGCTACTGCACTCATGCAAAACAAAATGCAAGAAACACAAGTACTTAGATAAGGGAAAAGGTAAATGACTGATTGCGTGCAGTAAGTGGTCAGTCCATGTGTGTCTGAATACCTCTGAGGGCTAAAGAGGCTTTTCTCCTGAGCCCCCTGCTGGCCACACTTCCCTGGGCTCTTTGGCACTGAGCTCCCTGTCACCTGAAGAAGGCTCCATGGCCACAACGTTGTTTTCTTTCTTCTCTTTTCAACTTGGAATAAACCTATTACTTGTTCCTTTACTATCTCCTCATTATTCCCTGTCTGAGTAAATGAGGCTTACATCTCTGAGTAACAGGAGACAAAAAAAGTTTTTTGTCCAAAAAGGCAGCAATCTTTTTGTTTTTTTTAAGTAAACCAATGGCAAAAGGGACAGTTTTTTTAGTTTTTATTTTTGTATTCAGAACTCAAAAGTTAATCTGGACCCTGAGCAGAAAGGCTCTCAGCCAGTTTAAAAAATAAGATTTGTTTTTATTTCTGGAACTCGGAGCAAGGAGACAAGCTCCTCCTGCTGTGGAGCAGCTGCCCACAGCTGGGCTGCAGATGTGTCGTGCCGCAGAGACACCGAGCGCGCAGCTGAGCGTGTGGGCGGATGGCTGGGAAGGGGTTAATTATTCCCAGACTCGGCTGTTACACATTCACACTCAAGAGCAGACTTGCTCAGAGGATTCAGGATTGAAATGTTTTTTGTGCAACTGTGCTTTGCCTAACAACTCCAGCTCATTTTGTCACAGCAGACCCAGTCGGAGAACTTCATGAACTTCCAGATAAAGGGCTCTTTCATATGACAGTATCCACAGTGACAGATGGAAGATAAAAGATCAGTTTAACTAAAGTCCATCTGACATTAATCTTTTAAACACTGTATTGGGTTTTGATGCAAATTGACAAAGTTAGTCTTGTTCCAGTAGAAATGATGCAAAACATAGCATCTACTTTTTATCGGAGGTTTATCAATTTCTATACCTTATTTACATCTAAAATGTGTTAAGATTCTAACCCATGGCTGGAGACTGATGAGAAGAACTCTGCAGTGTCTATGTTGCAGCGAGAGAAAGTGTCATTCTTTGCAGCCAGTGTTGTTTCTTGTTTTGTGGTTTGACTATCTCACTGTAGTATACCTTGGGAGAATTTATTTGACAAACTTTACAATGGTTTGTTTAAAGTCATACTCCCCAGTCCCCAAAAAAGACAATCAATTACTCATCTTCCAGCAACTGTAAATGATTGCAAAAGCTTACAGCCACGGGAATATGAATAGAAACAGTATAATTATCATAATCACAGCTGACACAGCCATTTCTCAGTACAGGGCGGTTATTTATATAAAATGGCATAATCAACAGTTAGCGAAGCATGTGCACTTTGCTTCCTAAATTGCTATGTTGGTATTTTGAATTATAGTCATTCTGAGGCACTAGCAGTGGAATAATAGCTACAGCTCTGGCTAATTGTTCTTTGCATAGTGCGCTGCTCACAGCTCAGTCTTAAAGATCAGTGTTTATCACAGGGCCAGATCAGGATGCTTTAAGGGTGGACTGTTGTAAAGTTTTGGGTAATCTGCAAAGCTGCCCTGCAGCTAGGAGACCTGACGTCTGTACTGACCTGCACTTAATAAACCCCTTGTGGAGCTGTGCTCAGTGATTCCATACTGATGGCATCGCCCTGGTCTACTTCCAGATAAAAATATCATTAAAAATTTACTGGGACAGAAATGTTATTAAGGAATAGAGCAACAGGGAGTCTTTGTCCCTTTCCCAAGGCTGGATTCTTAGTTGTGTGTTCATCCTGTATTTTTCTTGGCTGATTCACAACAGGCAGAGTAGGTTTTGTGGCTCTAAAGAGGGTCACTACAGATCCCAGACCACAGAGCCCCAGTCCTGCTCTCTGACTTCATCAGACTCTGGTATGCATCAGATTTGTGTAAAGGTTTTGACTCATTTTCTTTTTTAAGGATGACTTTTGTATGGAACATTGCACTGTCTTCTGGTTCAGTTTCTAATGATCTGACAGTTCCACTGTACAGTAAAATGATTTAATCACTAGTTTTGTACAGAATAGCTGGTAGGCAATGAATGAAATGGTAAATAATAGAAATCTTGACTGTCAGCAATGTAAATCCTAAATGTAGTAATTTCTATTAATATTAAAAGCTGCTGGAACGTGTTAAGAATGTATTGTCATTTCTTATTGAATTAGTATGTCCTTTCTTATTTTAACTTGGTATGAGGGAGTTTCTCTGGTAAGAATATCCATGGTGTATGTGTTGAGGCCTTCATTCTAATAATCCTGATTTGGTTATAATAATAATAATAATAATAATCCCCTCCACCCCCGATGTGGGGGATGTAACAGCAGCCAAAGCGTGCCAGTACACTCACCACAGCAGCCATCAGTGGGGAGGAGAGCAGGGTAATGAAGCTAATCAGTAGCTGGGGATTATTAGGAGGCCATCTCTGGGAAATCAAGGATAGATAAAGGCCAGAAGTAAAACACATCATGTGGGTTAAACCAACAACTTGCAGTGACTTTGAGGTGCTATACTTCGCCTGAAACTGAAATCATATTCTGACTGGAGCACTGCTGAATAACATGCTTTGATGTATTGAATTTAGTTTAGTTGCTCAGCTATAATCCTACTTTTAAGTTGCATTTCAGTGTTTTTCAGATTTTTGAATTCCTGTTTAATGTAAGCGTTAGATGTGAGCTATTTGTGTTCAGAACAGCCCTTCCTCTTCCTCCACACCCCAGGCTGAAACTGCTGTGTGCAGCCTAGTGACCAGGAGTATGCCTGGGCATAGTGACTACAATGACCCTCTTCTCAGTCTGCACCCTCGTTCCTGCATAATGAGTGGACAGCTGGGTGTATAATATATTGGGGACGTATTTATTATTGGAATATCATTCCTGTTGATCTGGTGCTGTGCTTGGTGAGGAAACTGTGATTCAGCTCAGTTGTGTCTTTCAGGATGACGTCATGATGCCTCAGAGGGTCCGACTGCAGCACCAGGCTACCCTAGATCACCCCAACTGCGTGAGTATCTCAGCCCCTTCCTGTACACACGGCCTGTGGTCAATTCTAGAGCAGATGTCATGCACTGTCATGACACGTCACTTTTCTATAGATCATATGGGCTATGGAGCCCAATGCCCCAGAACAGTCATGAAGAAAGAGCAGTAGCCCAGGGATACGACAGGGACTGAGCAAGAAGAATTAAACAACCTTCACACTTCAGGGCTTAGTCTTTATATTCTAAAGGAATTGCTCATAGTTGTTCCAAATGCCTTGAATGTAAATTTGTCCCCCGAAATTGCAAAGGGAATGTTTTCATTGAGGAATTTCTGAGGAGGGTTTTGTGAAACTTCCAGCCTTTCCCAATCCGATGCCTCTGCTCCTTGTGTTTAAGATCCACGGGAGTTACATCGTCACGCCTGGCAGCGCATTCAGAGCACTTGGGGGCTGCTGGGAGCAAGCTCTCCCATTCACAGAATGAAATCCAACAGTCAGAAAGCTCTTTGCAAGCCAGGGTCAACCTGGGGGTTTGTTGCCATGGTGATTGTTGTTGCTGGTGACGATGCAAAGGAAATAAAAGCTTTGGCTCATGGATACAAAGCAAAAGCACAGCCTTGAAATTTTCACATCACATCCCCCACTTATTATCCTTATATCTTCTTCTCACTTTTTACTTCATTCTTGTTTTGTTTTTGTTTTCTTCCTCCTCCTCTTCACCATCTTTTCTTTTTTCTTGATCATTATTGTTGATATTGATGTTGATCATGGCTGTTGACAGACTCATACTGCTTCCCACTACCCTGTGATTTCTGAACTAGGAGCTGGGTAGATGAATTCTGGTTAAGTCTGGTCATTGAGCCCTTCTTCAGAGAGCTGGCTGTGCCTGGGAATTTACAGTCCTTCAGTGTGGCTGTATAGTAGTAGCTTGACAAGCTGTTTTTCTGTAAAGTACATGAAACAATATCCTGTCTAATCTACAGTGATTCTCACAGAAATCATAGGGAATCCCTGGACCAAAAATATGTCTGACCAATTGCAATTTAGCCCTGCATGTCTGAAATCACACAGATTCATACAGACTGTAATTGCTTTTGCAGAAATTATTCCAAAGAGGAATGGACAGACTAGCTTCTGAAACAGATCGTATCATAGTACATTATTGAGAATGGGCATACTGATATGTGTTCACTTCTTTCCAAGATCCCATTCAGCCTTTCTGTACAGGGTGATGAAGGGCTTTGTTTCCTGTGCAATGTGCATATGTGACAAATTTTAAGTTTTTAGGTTTCAATTGCATAAAGCACAGCACTAAAAGTCATGTCTTGGATGGGACATCATCACAGCACACACACACATTTACTCACACATTCATACAGCGTTTGATGTAAAGATGCCACTTAACTCAGACAATAAGTCTTTGGGTTGTGGGAGGAAATGGGAGCCCCTTGGAAATGTTCTTGAATAGAAGTGGTGGTCAGGTATTCTCCTCACGTTTCTTAGGCAAATGTGGAGACTCCACACAGAAGGTGGCCAGTTCATGAGCTGTGAGGCAACAACGCTTACTGCCTTGGGACCATGCTGCCCCAGTAAGACTTCAGGAATGCTGTATTTTTCCTACTATTACAGGAAATATCTTGACAGTTCTTTGTATAGTATTTTGACATTACAGTTTTTCCCAACAGCTAAGACACATTTCCTCAAATGAGGCCCCCTTTTCCCAAAACTCTAAACACAGAACCAAAACCACACACTGATCTGTACAAACCTCCGACTTATATGACAAAATCAAACACTCTACTCAGAAACGTTATCTTCAATCTAAATCAAAATTTCAGATGGTACACAAAAGCCATCAAATACACAAACTCCACTGAATACCATTACACACTGGTGAGATCTATTCAAAACTCTACTATAAAAACCTGTTACTACAATGAAACAGGAACCAAATGTTTTTTCAGAACAACCTCTATACATTTTGAACTTTGCGACATCATGCTACTGTAATCTGCATAAATTAAGTGTGCAGGTAAAAGAACACAATATCACCTTTAAAAAATTTCCTGAATTTACAGTACAGCAAACTGAAGTTGGATGAAAAACTAAATCTAAAAAGCAAAGCAAAGTACAGTATAAATATTTCCCAAGTATTCGACTATGGAAAATAATGAAAAAAAATCAGCTGGTGTAAAGAAAGTAAAATCACATTTATTCTGCCTCAGCATCCTGTCTCTGGGCTGGGTCAGGCATCACAGGCAATGTTAGCCCTGGCCAGGCAGCGGGGAAGAACCCCCTGGTGGCCTTATCCACCCCTGGCAAGACTCCAAGGTAATGTCCCCACAGGCCTCCTCCATTGCCTGGAGAAGGTTTTCCCACTCACATGGATTCCTGTCATAGACCTTCCAGCGCCATGCCGAGAAAAGCTCCTCTATAGGGCTGAGGAATGGGGATCAGGGTGGAAGAAACAGATGAGAGAATCTAGGATTGTCAGTGAGCCAGTTGCACACCACACCCGATCGGTGGAAACTGACATTGTCCCACATATCAACGAAGCACGACAGCTCTGGCTGCCCCGGCTCCCTCTGCTCTTGTGGAAATACATTATCCTGAAGACCATGGAGGAAAGCCGGCAGATGTGCTGTGTTATATGGACCCAGGGTGGCTGATGGCGGCACACAGTGTGACAGTGCCTCCACCCTGTGATCCACAATGGCCCGGTGGCCAATAATGTTCCTCCTTCTTCTCCTCCGTTTGGTGAGGTTAAATCCTGCCTCATCAAAGAAGATGCACTCATGTGGGGTGTCTCTGGCTTCAAGTTTAAATATTCTCCACAAAAGATTATGTATATTATGTAGAAATACAGTAAATAACTAAAGAACATTACTATAGTAAAAGACCATTACTATAGTAAAAGTAATGGTGTACATTATACTGCTGAAATACATTTCCCAAAAATATTGAATGAAGACTTACATACTTGCACGTATTCCAAGCGCTGGTCTTTTACTCTTTCTGAATTCCTTTCAAATGGAACACAGTAGACTTGTTTTGTTTGTATTCTGTTGTGTCGAAGTATGCAGTCAATGGTTGAAATGCTGATTTGGTCAGTTCTTTTAAATATACCCTCATCTTCAATTATTCTGGTCTGCATTTCTCACAGACGAGTGACATTGTTGGCTATGACCATGTTGACAATTGCAGTTTCATGCTCTTCTGATAACAACCATGGTCTGGCTCCATGAGCTTGTCGTCTCTCAGTTCTGCAAAAATAGAACAGGTACTGTTGGGCTACAGTCATCCATCTTTACAAAATATGATCTGATTTCTCTTTTTTTCCAAAACATGTGCTGTAATAAAGAATATAAATTATAGTTCTCCCTGGTGCAAGAATGCAGTGATGTGGTCTGAAAGTGGCACTAAGACTCGCTGCTCCACTCCATCTCTAGAACAAAGAGTAACAGGAAGAAGACAGGAAGCTGCAGGGTCATGTGATCACCCAGGCCCCAGGAATCAATTGAAAGCTATGTTGAAGCCCCTTAGACATCGGTCAGGAGTCGTCAGCACAGGTTATATCCATCCAGTACACCCTTTGAAGAGGGCCTTTTCTGCATCGATCATATAACTGTCTTAGAATTTGTGAGCAATTAAAAAAAACAACAGTCCAATTTCAAAGCACATTTTTTAGGCTTGCAACTTTTCAACCCAGTCATCCAAACCAAGCGTAGAGTTCTGGGAGACTAGGCTCTGGGTGCAGTTGCAGTGGTGCATTTTGCCCTTGTGTCTGCCAGAGCTGCTGGCACAGGGCTCAGTGCCAGCAAGGTGCAGTGCTCAGCTCGCTCTTCCACACAAGCAAGGACCACTGTGTTGCCACAGATTTCTCCATCTTCCAACCCACATTATATTGGAGACCCCAGAACGAAAAACCACATAATGTACATTATAAACAAACCAAAAATGTATTGTAGAGTGTGTTCAGTCACTCTGCACATTAACATTATGTGAGTTCATCATATCACGAGTTCAAATGTTGAACAAATAGTTATAGTTATCGCACTGTTTACTAGGTACACTGGATTATTTTACTGTTCTACACCCACACACATGAAGGAGCTCCCTCTATTGGAAACAAGATCACTGAACAGACTTCCTCACTCCTTGGCTGAGTCCTTGGCATCTCATGACGGAGGAGTGTCAGACAGGTGCACAATAAAGCAATTGCAGTGAACTAGTGTGGCTGGTGGCACAAACCTCCCATGTATGAGAGACCAGTTCTTGCTACAGAATGTTCCATGGCAAAAACACCAAAAGTAGACTGACATTTTAAAGCTCTTTATTTTTTTAGACGTTTTGCTTGCGCTATTGTTTGGGGTTCTGTTGGAAAAAAAGCTTTTCATGGATTTGCATGACCTAAATTCATAACTTTGTGCCATTAACCTTAGCTTTATGCTTTCAGCTTTGCTCAGTATTTGCGATGTCTCGTCTGTGGTTTGTCGAATTCTGTCATTGTGTAACAAGCTGATAACAGTGCTTAGTGGAGGAAGACCTGCAGAGGGGGAAGGAGTAATTGGTTAAGTGTACTTCAGAGGCGGTCTGTGGAGGTGCCTGGCTCCATGCCTGTCAGAGCCTGTAATTGCCCAGGAGCAGAGAAACAGAACTACCATTTCCCAGCGCTGAAACATGGGCTAGTTTAATAAATCACAGTGCCCTGCAGGCTTTGGCAGCCCTGGCTAGGTTTAATGGAAAAGATCGAATCCCAGCTAGTTTATTATTACTATATATTGGGCATTAACAAAGTGAGCCTTGAAGCTTGCAACATGAAGTGCAAATTCTGTCTTGGGGTTTGGTTAGCTAAGATGTCGTTTAACTGAAAGAGCCAGTTAAGGTAGAGAGAGAGACTGTGGATGTTCAGTTAAAAGGTTGAAAAAAAAACTTGACACTTGAAGTGTAACAAAGCATTGTGTTGAGTCATTCTGCCAACAGAGCCTTGTTGACTGCCGAACTTAATGCGGTTTGAGCTCTTTAAAGATGTTGATGTAGCCAGTCCTGTTTGAGGGTGGTTAGGGTTTGTGAAAGAGGCTTGCTAAAGACAGTTACTGAGCACTTGCCAGACTGCTCAGCCAGCACCAGCAGAGTGGTCCAACAGGAAATACTGTATGTCTTTGTGTGGCCCAGAAGCTCCTGTTGAGCGCACAGCTGCTGAGGAGCTCTCATGAGAAAGATGGGAGAACAGTTACTCTGATGGGGCCACACAGAATCGGAGAATGAGTGTGGAAAGGTCTTTGCACACAGACAGCAGTCCAGCTTGCTGCTTAGGTCCCACTTCTTTTATTGTAGAAGAGCCATGTGATTATTTCACATTGCCAGACAAATATTAAAGCAGGAAGCCAAGCATTGGTTTTCAATGCAGATGGAGAGGTGGGGTCAAAATAGCTCTGTATGTATTAATTCCCTATGTTATGGAGCAGAATATAAGAATCCCCGCAATAACACTCATGTTTCCTTTAAAATAGTTCCCTGGCTTCTCTGCTTCCATTGATAACAGGGGCAGAACCACTTCCTCAGCCAGAAAAGCAGAGCTCTGTCTCAGTCTGCGGGCAGTTTGTCATAGACCTCACTCTGTTTAAGTCAGTCACCGCTCTCGATGTGTCTGTGACCTCAGATGTGTCTTGCTGGTTGTTATGTGAAGCTGGTAAGGTGCAGGGATTGGCCAATATTCTCGTCATTTATTTAAAGAATCCTTCTTACCTCTGTGAGTCCTAGAAAAGTGCTTTGCATTCCACAGGACAGGGTGCAGAGCAAGTTGCCCTGTCATTGAGCTGGGGAGGATGACTGCAGACAAGCAATCACTCTGTAATTTCTGCGGCGAAGAACCAGCTGCTTCCCAAGATTGAGGCTGTATTAGATATGTCTTCTGCAATTTGAGCATAACCAACCATAGGCATTCCATAGCAAGTGCATATAAAGTAATATATATATATATGCAGATACATTTATTATCGTCATTCCCTGCAATGGAATGGGGTCGGTGGTGGTCAGATCTTCTTGTCTGATATGTCTCAGATGACTAAATTCTAAAAATGATGAATATTCTTTAAAGAAATTAGCACACTGTTTTAGCTTTGACAGTATACAGCCTGTCCTTTCAGGTGACTAAACTTTGCTAAATAGAAAGCTATGCTATTTCATTTAATGATTTGTTTTGAGCATGGGGCTATTTTGTATTATGTTTGAAGTACAAACATTGTTTTATCTTCTGTCTGTTTTTTTTGGTCTTAATGATAGGTTTGCAGTTGTCCCTCTGACAGGTAATGGTGTTTGACATCATCTGTCCTCCAGGATGGTGCAAGTGCTCTGTTTACTGGCTTAACATTCTTAAGCTGCCTCTCCAGATCTCTTTGAATGTCTTTCTTGATGAAATGTGGTAATCCATCTACAATAAAACATAACAGCATAAAGCAATTAAAAACAATTAGTTCTGAAAGAAAATGAGCAGGGAATGTGTAAAAACTGCACTTTGATTTAAACCATAAAGTGTCCTCGTTTTAATTTAAAAAGTATTCATATTCAGAGCCATGCTCTGCATATTCAGACAACAGTTGAGAATGTAGCTATCCTGGCATACGGCCAGACCATAATGAACTGCAAGATGCCATGCTGTACTCTTAGCCAAATCCACAATCTCACATTTTTGCAATAATTCAGTTCTATTAATAGAGCAGATGCATAGAATCAAAACGAAAGAGAGTGCTGGGCAGTATATAGTACAGTATAGGGAGTAGTGTGTGTCTGACTGCTGCAGGTGAGGCCCTGGTGTTCAGAGCTCTCAGCCATCCTTTGCAGTGCTCAGTGACACCTGTAGGGACTAGTACATCTAATCAGGGTCGTTTTGCTGTAGTCAGGTTTAGTGCCACGTATCTCGGCACTGTACTGTCAGAAACAATCCTAGCTAATTTTGTGACCTTAAAGATTGCTTATCAAGGATGACAAGGATGCAGCAAGCAGATCATCATAGATTGTGATCTATGATGGGACAGATATAAAACATAATCTGGAATATTAAGAACATCCAGTAAAGGTGTGTTTTAAAAGATTTTTTTTTAATTTAGTTATTTTCTTGTAAGGAAAGTAGCATACAGTATGTCACAGGGCAGAGAATTAAGTTTTGATAAATTGACCACTAAATCGTGGACAGTTAACAGTATTACACAATTTACGGTTTAGATTAAGTTGAGGAACACCAGATTGACACTGTCCAGAGGAAATAAGAGAATGTGAGGGAGCATAAGGGACCGACAACTCTCACAAAACGAGTCAGGATTTCAACAGTGTGACAGAGTTAGTTTTGCTTGCTGTATAATGTGTCCGCAAACAATTGATATGTTGCCCTTAAATGAATGGAAGTGTCACCAGCCCTTCTTGTCCTGTCAGGTTCTTGTGCTGAGAGCCTGTCACACAGTGCAATGATAATCAATGAGCACATGTTTTGACAGAAAACTGAAGGAGCTTTACAATAAGCAAGCTTTACAACAAGCAGCTTGTGTAGGCTAACATACCCAGGCTCAGTCCTGGTAGTGACAGTCATGACTAGATATCAACAGCTGGGCTTATGGTATGTTTTTCTTGCACAGTGAATACTTGGGGAAACATTGTGTCTCTTTTCTTTTCCTTTCAACATGGAATAAACCTTTACTAGTTCCTTTGTAGTCTGTGCATGCTGACATAGCTCCCTGCTTAAACTTTCTGGTCTTGTCTCACAGTGCCTGGAGTATGCGTGTGGCAATCTTTTAGTCTCTTCACATTTGTAAGCATTTGCATAATGTCATCTTTCCCTAAACTGTATGCTGTTTTAAAGTTGAGTTGAGTTCTGCAAATTTTTAGATGAGCCATTTGAAAAAGATTTCATTGCAATTAAAAAGTTCCCCACTTAGCAAAGTGAAGCATCAGAGATTTCTGATCTGGACGGGAGAGCAGTTGGAACACATTATTGTCCATCTGTTTATTTATGGCATTTATGGCTAACCCATGTGTGCCTCCTTCTTTCACAATAGAAAACAATGTTATAATAGTGTAGAGCTGGTAGACTCTACTGTCACGCAGAGAACTTAGAACTGATAAAAAGTTCTGTCCGGAATCTGTGTGCTTATCGCATGATGATCATCAAGAACTGTGATAAATACCACACAGGCAGCTTCTTTTAACTTCAGTTCCTTTCTTTTCAACTACTTGTATTTAAGAGAAAGGAAAAACAAAAAACCTCTGTTGCCAAATGTCCAAAACCGTAAATCGCAGTAGCATTAGTGGAAGTGCACTAGATACCTCAGCATGAACGGGTGTCCTTGAGGAGCCTTTAGAAACATCATTCCCTGGAGTCATTTGATAGTGCTGCGTTTTGCATTTACAAAGCGATATAACCCGCTCAGCTCCTCTTGTGGAGAATGGCAGGTTTTGCGGTGCAGGGTGGCCAGGCTGTGGGGTGCCGGGAGCAGGGCTGCAGACCCAGAGCCCCTAATTGCCTTCGCCCTCTGTCTCTGCAGATCGTTGGCTGTCGGGTGAAGAGGCAGCCGGATGGCTCAACGGAGCGCTACACCCGCTGGATCAACAGCCTGACCCCAGAGCAACTCCTGACTCAGGTAATCTGAGTGATCGAACTCCCAGATGCCCTGGACGTTACCTGAATGAGACACTCCTGGGAAAGCTAAGGCTGTTGCTGGAAGACGTGTTAGTGAGGCATGTACGGGGCGTCACCCTGTGGTCTATGTGGGTCCTAATTCCCCTGTATAGTGACGGGAACATTATACTCTAAAAATGGCTCCGACTTTCAAATGACACTTAAAACCAAGGTACCTTTGTGGTACTTTGTGGTCATTAAAAATCCCTGGGTGTTTTTCGCGAAAAGAGTAGGGGTATTACCCGGGTTGCTGGCCAAATTTGCCCCTGGCCTTTACCAATCATGGTCTTCAAAAAATCCCCATCTCTGAACGGGCTTCATCACTTTCTTCTCCTCCCAGCTGAGAGCTGGTGTGTGAGGAATATTATTATTATCAATCAGAATTAGAGCCTCACACTCCAGGTGAGTGTGTCCGCCCCAGTGCAGCATGTGAGCTGGAGCCCTGCAGAACTGTGCTGTCAGCAGCTCAGACGCCCGCAGGCTGAGCTGCAGGTGGGATCACTTAGAAACATAGACATCAGCAGAATCAACACAACCTGCTGAGGTGGATACATCCTCACTGGCTTGTCTCTTTTCTTAAGGATTTGAATGTGGATTGAGGTAAAAAGAACTGGTTCTTCGTTTTTCCTCAGGGAATTTAAACAATCCTGTATACCTGTTCTTGTCTAAATGGATTGTCTGTTAACTGGCAACAGGAGCACTCCTTTTGTCTGTTGTCTGCACGCTGAAATAAACATGAATGTTTGGTGGAAACTTATTTGACCCGCTTAAGAGAAAATGATTTTTTTTTTGCTGTACTGTTATGATGCACTACCTCGGAAGGCTGATGTGTCTGCATGTTGCTCAGGAGAGGTCTGTGTATGTTGGGCATTCAGCCAGGATCCGGCTGCAGTGCAGACTGTGGTGAAAACAGGCTCTCTACGCACAGGAAGAGCTCTGAGGAACCTGACCTCTGGCACAGTACTGGCTTAAACTGGGCCAAATGCCTGACTGCTAAGCCAAGCCATCTTTCCAAAACATAAATCTTTTGTTATTTTTTTGGTGCTCTTTTTGTAGAGTAGAGACGTTTATTGCCATGTGTACATGTGTACATGCTGGTCTCTCCAGATATATACAGTACAGCAGAGGACAGTACAACAGACAACACCACACAATGAAGACAGAACATTACAACATAATAAATAATACAACCACGACAACAAATATGTTGTAGTGAAAGAAAAAAACATGGTAGACCGTGCAAAAAGTGCATAGTGCAGAGTGCATTGAGTCTGAGGCCCTGCAAGTAGGTGTTGAGGATGAGTACTGCAGTGGAATTGAAGCTGTTCTAGTGGTCTGTGCTTTAACAGTGCGGTACCACTTGCCAGAGCGCAGGGGGGAGAACAGTTTGTGGCCGGGATGGTTGGGATCCTGAATGATGGATTGGGCTTCATTGTGACAGCGGATGGTGTGAATCCCACCAATTGATGGTCAATCACATCCTATAATCCTCTGTGCTGTTGCCACAGCCCTTTGTAGTGCATCTCTGTCATGTATGGTAGTACTGCTGTACCACACAGTGATGCCACTAGTGAGGACACTTTCTATGGTGCTGCGGTAAAAGTTCATGAGATGCTGCTTCCCCATACCTCACTTTAAGCACCACAGAAAGTGCAAGCGCTGCTGTGGCTTTTTCAGACGGGCTACAGTGTTGTGAGACCAAGCCAAGTTGGTGGAGATCTGCAGACCAAGGACCCAGAAGCAGCTGACAGTTTCTGCTGCTGTGTCCTCGATGCTGATTGGGGCGTGCCTCCCCCTGGGTCTCCTAAGGTCCATTATTGTTCTTTTGTCTTGTTGACGTTCAGGGGCAGACTGTTGTCAAAGCACTATGATGCACCATTTTCTAATAGTGGTATTGTAACATTCTTTTGCACATTGTATGTAAAGACTGCAGGATGGAGAAAAAACAGCAAACTCATGGTTGTTTTATGGGCGTTAGGCTATGATTTATTTCCATGATGCCCTGGAGCAAGGAGAAGGCGTTCTCTTTGAGAAGTTTGCTATAGGCTGTCCCTGGTTGCATATTAACTAGAATGGCTCTGCCTTGGTTGAGTATGCCTGTCCATCAGTACTGTGCTTAAAATGTCTGGGTGGGGTAGCAGTCAATTGTAGCTCGTTAGGGTCTCTGTAATTCATTGATTTGGAGCACAGCTTTTAATGAGACGCACCATCAGTCAGCCATGTTACTTCATGAGCTTAACACATATAAACAGCCTTATTCAGTACCACTTCGACAGACTCACTCTTCATTTGGCTATTGCACTATGCAGCCTGGGGTTAAAACATAACCTTGTTCCCAGCTGTTGACAATGAAGGTGAAACCAACATTTCCAGTTTTCTGCTATACAGGAATTATTTGAAGTCAGCCCATTAAATTTAGAAGGACCACCGAGGACCACATTTCATGCAAATGTGTGATTTACTGAAAATGAATGAGCAGTTGAAAGAGAATAGAGAGGAGCAGGGGCCTGTGAGCCTCTGCACAGGAACCACTGTTCAATAATTAGGCACCATTTATTAGCAGGCATCTCAAAGTGACCACTGTCACACAACTAGCTGTTCTCTAGTGAATGTTCGAAGTTTTATACTTTAATGACACAGTTATCTACTATAATTTGCATTTGATACTATTCTTACAGTCCAGCGAATCACATCTCCAAAAATGTCTTTTAAATTATAGAATGTTTACAGGTTACATAGTGAAAAATAGTAACTTTCATAGCGAAGTGAGCATCGAGCTGGGTACGGTGTATTGCAAAGTATGGTTAAAGGGTTGAAGACAGACATATTTTCATGTACAATAAAGACAATTGTATGTGAAAAAATAGGACCCACAAATAAAATAGAATTTTTTTTGCAATGTGTCCAGCCTTCCTGCCCGCACTGCTCTACGCCCACTGTGACAGGAAGCCACGCGCTGGCTCTCGTCAAGCTCAGGCGGAAGTGAGGGTGACTGGGCTGCAGCAGGAAGGAAGTGCCCTGCAGCTGGCTGGCTGTGTGCTGTCACGTCGACTCGCGTGCCTCCATCTCTGTTAGCACGGCTGCATCACGGGGGAGCTCCCTCCTCTCGCCACAGTCAGCCTCGAGGTGCCCTCTCTGCGCGTGCGGGCTCTGCTCCGCGATCAGTGCAGAAGCTGCCTCAAAAGCACAAGGTTCAGAATTACTGGTATTTCCTGCTTTTCAGAATCTCACTCCCAGCACATGATATTATTGTTCATGATCTTTGTTTGCAAACTTAATACTTCCAGTGTCAAAAACTTTGCTGCTTGACACTGGTTTCATCTACTATTTTTTTCCGTATTTGATTTGGGAATCTTGTTAAATTACTAAACACTGTCACATTTTCTGAATACGATGCAGAATATGATACAGAACACTCATAACATGGTCAAGCCAGCACATTTTTTACACTGTGGACAAGATACAGGTAACGTACAGTTGTATTCATGTATTAAAGCTAAATTAGTTATTTTAAGTGAAATAGAAACCAGTTGCATGTCCAGTAATCCAGTCCAGTGCTGTCACATGGAAACTTAGTAAAGGTGGAACAACACAATGGAGGGGATGTTTCAGTTTTCACATTGCTTGAAACATTTTTTATCATCTCATATGACAGATGCAATAGGAAATATTATTTTTAGCTCTTGATGAATAATTTTAAGGCTCATAGTCAAACAGTTTCCCTTCTCCTTTAAACAAAATGAGGAAGCACTCTCTCCCTCCGAGAAAACTAACACAGCCGACATCGGAGTGCAGAATCCAATGTCCAGTGCTGTTCAGTGCTTCCCAGCACTACTTTTTCTTGGATGGTGTGAAAGTGGAACTTTGTACTTGTTCTGGGAATCCTGTGTGAATGGGAGCTAATTTTTCAAATTACTGGTAGAGTTTGTCCGATCTGAAATGCCAGTACAGGTGGTGCTGTCTGTGGCTCTGTCAGAGCTGGAGCTGTAATCATTCAGGTGTGATTAACAGGGAGTTGTTTGCTGAAGGAACACCTCTCAGGACAAGAAATCCAGCCAGCATGATCTCTGCCTTTGGCAAGAAACACACAGGAATGAGTTGTTGTCTTGTGCTCTCTCCGTCTGAGCTGAAACTACTCTTCCTGTAGGGATTTTCATCTGTGATGTTCAAACTAGCCCAGCTGTGTGAGTGTCCCTTTCGCCCACTGCCTTTTCCCTGTCCATAAATCTGCCGCATTATATTTTGTTTGGAATTGGAAATGTCAGAAAGCTATTGGTTTTTGGTTTTCTTTTGAGTCTACCATGCCAACAGTGAGGGGTCTGTACTCAGGCAGGGTTCCTTTCAATGGGTTTTTTCAGAGCTAAATCAATGGATTTGCCTTTATATCGTGTGCTGCAAGAAGAGGGGTGTTGTCTCGCCCCTGCTCGCTCAGTGTGCACAGCAGCAGGGCCATGTGTGAGCCCACAGTGCTGCTGGCCAGCTCCACCGTGGGCAGAGAAAGAGTGTGCTTCCTGCCGGCAGGCGGAAGACAGCGGCAGGCGCGCGATGCTGTCAAGGTGAGCCAGCGGGCAGGGAGGTGAAGGCAGAGAGTGCATCTCCAGAGAGGAGTGAACTACATCACGCTGTTTCCTTGTGGTTTCAGACTCGGCAACAAGCTCTCACTTGGCTGCAACTCTGTCGCAGTACCAAACCTCAGGCTGTGTTGCCACAGAGAACAAAGTTGAATGTACAGTAAATAAAAAGGGGAAAAAATAAACCTCACCATTAGTGCTGCAGCTTTTCATCCTGAGAAGAAGTATTAATGGCTTTTATCTGTATATATAAAAATTGTATACAAATACTTCTGTGTAAGTATTTACACGGCCTCCCTTATAGTATTTTTTATGTTAACTAGTCTACTGTTTCTACTTCTGTTTTTTTTTTTGTGCACATTTTGAAACAGAACGGAGGTTGATGTCAAAT